AATGACGTGATATAATTCGTGAAATTATAAAAACCAAAGAACTTTAAATAATTTGGTCAATGTGTGAGTTATAATAAATCAGCCATTTCGATAAATATATCCATCGATAATTGTTTTTCGATATCTTAAAACTTATATTTGTATTTTGAAAATTCCCCATTTCTGTAACAGTTAACAGGAGTACCATAGAGTTCTACAAAAACAAAAGAAACAGGAAAAGAACGAAGGCTTTTAGTGACATGTTTTATGAAGAACGATGTCCTTTTTATTATCTGGACATAGCAGATACAGACAAAAATGTCAATTGTTTGACTGGAATTCAAGCTAAAAAATGTAATGAAAATTCTGTCATTTGTGTTTTAACTTCCTGCAATTTTAACAAACTCTTTTCATGAGAAAAAGGATGATTTGGTTCCGACCATAGTCACAGTTATAACGAATGAAACCATCATTGATTTATTGATTTCTAACCTACAGTGGAGTCTCAAAGTGTGCGACTCTCCGACACACTTCCAACGGCGAGGAATTCCATACCGGCTGCAGTAGCGAATAATTCAGTTGCCTAAAAATATTTGTGTAACGTTATATACATTTCTGTAACATTATAAAAGCACATTTGTAGGCTTGAAGCATATTTATCCTTGGACAAAAAATAAAAATAAAATAAATGTTATATCGCAGTAATTGTACTGGCTAGACCCAGCTATTAAAATTAAATGACTTTTATAGATACACTCCCCGATTTTAAGAAAATATTTCAAAATCGCAGTTTTGAGTTAGTTGAAGTAAAAGAAAAATTTGTTATTGAGGATCGCATAGTTAAGAAATATTACAGAAATATGTTACACACACAATGCTGATATCATAGAAGGTAAAAGAAAGTGCTTTTTTAGGTAAGACTAAGAGCATTTTAGAATATACCTTTTATGTGACTATAAAGTTCAAGGTATATTTGAATAAACTATATGTAGCACAAGTGAATTAAACGTTAAATAGGTAAATAGTTAATAAAAATGAATTTATACTTAAACATGAATCTTATCTATTTAGAGAAAAGTAATATTTTTATTCCGCTTGATTCTTCGTTTATTCATATATACCAGAAAATATGATGCATTTTTATTAAAATATTTTTATTAGAAAAACGTAACTAATTATTTGATGTATAAAATAAACTAATAACCTTAACTCATTAATTATAGTTAATTATAATTACCCAATACTTTTAGTAAAAAAAATATAAACTTACTGAGAATATACAATACATTAGAATGTAGAACAGGTTACCAAAATACTCCATGTGACAGGGAAGTGATGTTTTATTTTCATCAGCTGCTTTGTTCTCGCTAACAAAAAACCGCTTTACGTATTGATTAAAGTACATCATAATTGGACCACGTTCCATGTCTTTTTTAATCTTCCCCTTTCATGATGTTCTTTGCTAATGAACGTACTCAGTGTAACACTAATTATCATGTTCTTTTTTAATAAAGTAGTGTTTGCAATTGAACTGTATTCTTCTAACGAATGAACATGGAAAGTCAACTAATGTAATGATACTCCGATTATCTAATTTAACAACGAGAATATTTTAATCCCGAAATAATTAAGTATAACAATACATTATCTGAAAGTGTTTACGTAATTAGTATATAAACATCTATCGATTCACACTGCAACTGTTAATTAATAGTACATTACTCTAAATTAAATTAATTTTTTTATTCTTTATAAGAATATAAATTGAAGATACATTTGATATTGGCATTTTATAAAAAAGTGATTTGCAGACGTATTCCTGTCTTATCGTTGTATTTATCTGTTATCATTGCTATACTCTACTATATCCTAAACGATGTTTTCCATATGGTCATAAATGAGATATGTTGGTGATTCTATTTTTACGTCTCACTCTGTATACATCTTGGAATCGTATTTGTTTTTGCGATTAAACCATTAAATCATTAATAGTCTGATCATAAAAACAGACTGGACGGATATTTCTTTCCGTTTACAAGCGATCGCAAGCGTTAACTCGAAGGCAAATACATATTTTTTAAACCCTATTTAATCGTTCGCGTACGAATGATGTGTTGCGATCTTGTTAAGCAATTATTTTAAATGAATTCTGGTGATTCTTGTTCACGGTGTCACTAGTTACATAATTATGTTATCGACTGGAAAAGCGTTCAGCTCTGAATGCGTCTGTAATAAGAGATAAATTATGTTATATCACAAATATAAAAAATATTTTATAAGTTTAGTTCTTATTATTTTAGTGAACTAAAAAAATTTTAATAAAGGTAATGTTAACTTTCTAAATTCTAATCACAAAAGTACCATGACTTATTAATCAGTCTGTCAGTACTTTGTAATCTTATTGTAATTGTATATACATTTGATATTAGTAGTAAGTATTTGAAATTAGATATAGCAATGAAGAAGTTAAAGATATTTGAAAACGTTTTAAATGTTTATAAAGAAATATTCAAATCATAATAAAATACAAATATTGTATACACGCCCACATCCCAATTAGAGTAACAATATAAAAAAATATCGGCTTTTATTTCTTTAAAGTGTCTGCCTCCTCTTCAAAAAATTTGAAAAGATATATATTAATGTTCATAACAAGATACAAACATTGTAAAAATATAAAAGTGGTCATTTTGTAATATCAATCAAAAATCAACATTTTCAAAGTTTTTCAATTTCTCAAAAATCGATTTTACAATTAAAATTTTGAAAAATTTCATAGATATGTAACTCAATATGCAGAATATCCCCGTTTCTTTTCTAATGTTTAGCAAATAGAACAAAAGATATGGGGATTAAATCATAAACTGCTTTTCACCCTATAACTATCCTAATAGGAGAGATGGTCGTTTAAAACTTGAGAGAAAAAATTGTCGTATATTATCGACTTTTTATTTCATAATAAGAGTCTTTCCCAGTTTTATCACAAATTACAGAACATCCTATATAACTATGTATTGCTAATCCTTTAGCTTGAATTATGCAAATACTTTTTTCTAGCAAGAAGGAAGTTTCTTCTGTAAATGTAGTAGAACGTCGATTATCTAAATATCAATTGTCTCAAGGACCGAGTGTCGGAACATAAAATGAATCACATATCAAGATTGTGGAACAATGTTTACATTCTGATTTACGTATTAATTGTTAATTAACTGTTTCATCATACATTTATATCTGACTTGGGAAAAACAAATAAACGTGAAACAGCACTCTGTAATAGTTGATTAGGAGGAAGGAAGAAAAGGATGGGAGAGAGGAAAGTGTTTCGTTTGGGATTTAAATACCAGTAAACTCATCCGTTAGGCTCTCCCATAATTCCTTGTCTCATAGTTCAGTGCAGTTTTCACATCTTAGTAGTCAACCAACAAGCTAAACGTACACAGGAGCAAGGGGACTTGGCCGCACGCTCCACCTCGGTTTTCCAGGAAATATAGTAGCCGAGCGTACGTGACACCGGGATTCGGTAAACATAAAAAGCCGCCACCGTGCAGAAACGAAATTCGACGCCAATGTTCGTACATCTCACTTTACCGCAAGTGTTTCGCTTGTGTTCTTTGTTGCGCGACTCGGATAATAACAAGGACGTGTCGAAACTGAGGTGTCACTGTTGCCCAGAGAAGCCAGAAAGCAACCGAACGGATGCCTTTTCCCCACTCTGTCTTATCCCTTCCATTACCTCATTTCTCATCAGCGAGCATCCTACACAACCTTCACAACCACCGCAGAACCCAACGGTAACGTCAGGGAGAGGGTAAACTGCGTTCACCTTAATTTACCCGTTCTGGCCACAATGCTGTTGCCATAATTGCTGTTGCCATACCTACTGTGGGAGCAGGGTGCGAAATGACTGACACTATTTAACGGTAACACTTATTTATTAGTTAACACTTAAAAAGTAGGCAAAAGAATTTGAGTTTGACCTACCGTCAGAATGAACGAAAGTGAAGTGGTTCTTGTTGCCACGGCGGCTTCCACGAAGACGTCCCTTTACCTCCACATCTTTGTTCGAAAAGAAAGTTTTCTCCAACGTACGGAGGTACCTTGTTTATTTGCTTCATCACCCTTTTTAGGGCTTGGCAAATTTATGCGCCCGCACTGGTCTGCGACGTAGATGTCTGTTTACCCGTGCTACCTGGGCTAGAGCATCCGCTTGGCAAGAAGACCTTTTATACGTCCCGTTATGCCGCTAAACCTACTATTCGCTTCTTACGTTACGGTCGCCGGTCGGAGGCTTAAAAGTGCATAGGGGCAAGGGAAGACGTTCACTCGTGGTGCTTGGCCCGATAGTTATGGCGACTCAGTTTCGGCACGTCTTTGTTACTGGTCAAGTCGCGAGAAGAGGAAATCAGACGGCCAATAACAAAGACGTGCCGAAACTGAGCCGCCATAACCATTGGGCCGAGCGCCGCGAGTGGACGTCTCCTCTTACCCCTCTTCACTTTTAAGTCACGGGCCGATGGCCGTAACGTGAGAGGCGAGTAGTACTAGGCCAAGCGCCACGAGTGGATGTCTCCCTTTGCTTCTGTGCGCTTTTAGCTTGACGGACCTGATTTAACATGTTCGCTACTAGCATCACATATTTGTGACGGCAGCAATGTTGTATGTTATATAAAGAAAATTAAATTATTTCTATAAATGTTGTTATTTAAGGTTATAAGCTAAGTTATTATATTTGGAGACTCCATGAATTGTTTCAGTTTCATTTATTCAATATTTTGTTTAGATTTGTTGAGTTGAATAAAATATTACCACTGCGGAGATCGTCACCAAAATAAACGCACTGCGCAGGTGCACTGTATAGGAAGTTTAAAAAAATGTACTTGATTACAAACATTGGTTTAAAGGAAATTTTAGGTAAAATTACAAATTTTCATTTATATATTAGACTTTGTTCGATCATTATACAGTTTAGATTATCAATACTTTGCACTTACTCGTGTTATTTTTTGACAAAAAAGAGATTATGGCAACATCAACGTGGTATTCCCAGACGGTCACCCATTCAAGTACTAACCACGCCCAGCGCTCCTTAACTTCGGTGATCGGACGAGAACCGGTGAATTAAAACGCGGTATGAACGTTGCCTGAGTAGTTTGATGCACAAATTGAATAAAATGGAATGAAAAAATATACGAAGTAAAAGCTATTTTGGCTGCACGCTTCATTTCGATCCTTTCAGGAAACATAGTAGCCGAACTTTCATATCCCCGGGATTCGGTAAACATAAAAAGTCGTTACCGCGCAGAAACGAAATCCGACGCCAATGTTCGTTACATCTCACTACATAGTATACAGTTTCGTTTGCGTTCTTCGTTGCACAACTCGGCCAATAACAAGGACGTGCCAAAACAGGCGTCACTGTTGTCATAACTACCGGGTCGCGCACCGCTAGTGGATGTCTCCCCTTACCACTGTACACCTTTAGCTTGTCGGTAGTTGGCCAAGATGTGACAGCTGCACTGTACAAGATACAAGAATGGTATGTCTCAGAATTATGTAAAGTATTAACATAAATGATAAAAGGTATTGACAAGGGAAGGTATTGAACCCGCAAATTCAAACAATTATGAAACTTTACGTGTAAGTCAAACCTAATATATTGCAAATTTTTGTTCGTGCTGAATTTCACTTTGAAGGGATGAAACCACCCCTTGAAAAAATGCAAATTTTTCTTTCCCATGGATTTTCTTAAAAACGGTAAGAGATAACGAAAAGGAGTTTCAGAGAAAAATACATTATTCGTCTACGTTTATAAAATATCAAAATAAAATTTTCAAAAATTTTATTCTGCAGTTTTATAGACGTAAAATAACAATGCAATTTTTGTTTGAACGTTCTTCGCTATCTCTTACTGTTTTCAAGATAATCCATAGGATAGAAAAATTTGCATTTTTTTTTAAGAGGCGGTTTCTCGCCTTAAAGTGAAATTCGACACAAACAAGAATTTGCAATATATTAGGTTTAACTTATTCTACTTATAAGAGTAAGTTACTTGAAAATGTAATTATTTTCTATGAGTACATTTTATAGAGTAAAATAAAAAAGGAAAATATGTTTGTACCTTCGGTTCGCGTAGTTTAATTGCCTGAAAAATTAATTATCAAAATAAATATGTCTTTCCACTATTTCAAATTAATATTCAAGTGTAAATAAATAAATAAACGATTAGCTTCTATAAAATCATTCCTCAGAACTTAACTCAAATATATATAATATTTTCTATATATTCATATGTTGTTGTTAACAACAATATAAGTATAAAATTGAACATTGTTAACACGTTGCGTACTGCCTAATTGTCAGAACACTAGGTCAACAATTTTTAATGAGATAAACTTATACTGCTATACATAGAAAAATTCAGATTTCTTATTGTTATTTCATCCATCCTACGCAAATAATTAGTTCTGATAAAATTTAATATCTTTCAAATGCTTTGGTAATCAGCAAAGTTAAATAAGTAGGTATTTACCTATATAAAAACGAGATTTCTCATTCCTGGTACACAATATGTTAACAGGAGAATGAAAACATTACAAAGAGGAGATAAACTTAAATGAAAAGGTTATACTGTCACAAGTTCAACGAACACTTGAAAGAAAACAAAGTGACAATAAAAAACTGGAACTATAAAAGTCATTGAAGAATCGCCTCCTAAAACTGTCTCCGTTTAAATAGAACTTTGAATTTTTATGCGTTCACAATGACGTAGGCACGCAAAAATAACACGCGTGGGAGTCGTCGCAGTTATGTTTCACTAGATCATTTGCAACTGTGAGCTAAATTTTAATTAAATGAAACTGGCCCCTCGATTTTCTGGCGTGTGAAAAGAATCGTTGCTACATTCCTCGCGTATCATTTGACTTTCAAATTCTGATTAAAGGGTGGTTTATACATTCATGACTGAAGTAAATGTATGCCATGAAATTCACTAAATTCTGAAGGTTAAAATAATATATGCCTCTCAATTTGAATATTCCACTTATTCTCTCTCAATATAGGCTACTGCAAGATATCCAGGAAGCAGGTTTATGTATTTAAACTACTGTGCATTTGATGCATTTTCATCGTGCAAACATTCTCCAATTCTCTTGAGTCTGCTCGAGAGACTTTTATTAAATGGCTACTGTTTTACGGTTTTCACTCTTGGTCCAAAATAGTTGCAAGTGGACGTAGATTTCTGTTAAAAGCAATAAGCCGAGTTAGCCTCTCCTTAGTATATGTTAAGATTTCAATATAAAGTCAAGAGAAATTTTATAGATTGTTGTGTTATTCGAATAAAGTACATGTTTAAATTTCGTGGGATGGAAAGCTATTTCTTGAAAAATGTTTACTTTTAAAACTCGAAATGAGTAATATATAAGATGTTAGTTTACACTTGGTAGATGCTTTAAGTGATGGCTGTTAAAGCAAAAATAAAACCCAAAATTGCGATTTTGATTTTCCTAACTTATAATCATATAAACGCAGAACCCAACTTATGTGTCATTGAAATATTTTATTTATTAATACATAACTTAAAATCGAAATGAAATCAGTCACTTCGTTATTTTTAATTTTTGTTTTATTTTAGCTTGTAGAATCCCCTTTTAAAATAGTGCATATAATGTCACATAATTGTATATTGATACAAGTGAACAAGTAGAGATTCGACGTAAAAAAATGTAGCCATTACAAATTTAAAATATTTTTTCATAGTATGTTATATAATATAAAAAAGTAAAAGAAAAGTACAGCCATGCACCCAAAAAATTCAAATGATTTATCTTTAAATACACGTGTATATTTATTTTACTTATATTAACTCTCTGGAATCCTGGGACATGTACAAAAGTATTAGACTAAAATATTTAAAAGATCAATATTTTGCAAAATATTGCATATTCTTGGTAAGTCGTGTGTTTCATAGTAAATACTTACAAATGTAAGTAGTGTCGAATATTAACATTATTCAACTCTTTTAACATAAAGGCAAAATAAGATTTCTTTAGTTACTGAGAATCTATCTAAGACGTATGACGTCCTTAAAATCTCTAGAGGGAACGTTCAAATATGTTCTTTTAATAAAGTAAGTATAGAACTTATCAAAAATATACTATGCCTGACAAAAAATTAATTTCTTAAACATTGTACCTTAAAACTTTTTTAAGTAAAATATTTTTAAAAGTTGGTATAACTAAAAATAAATATATTATTTTGTTTAAAAAATATGTATTTACATTCTTTTTGGGTACATCATTGTATTTATGAAAAAAGTAAAGATGCAGAAAAGTAAACATTATTATACCGTTCTACGTCTCTGTACTTGCTTTCTATTTCTTACCAAACTTGAAATATAATCTGTTCCAATTGTGTGATATATCCTGTATATGTCAACTGAAGCTAATGGTAGTTACAAGAATACATGATAAATGATCAAATTTGTTTCTTCTCAAAAACACAGCTGTATATGGAAACAATATCAATCTAATTCTCCATAGAACATACATATATGTATATACAATTATGATTTACAATACACATAATATATGTATACAATCAGTTAAATGGCCGTCATTACATAACATTTTTCAATTTTCAAAATGAATAAACCTTATAAATACATACTTATTAATATAATAACGTACTTTTTTTAACCCTTTGGTTACGGCAGAATTTTGCATCAACGCATATTTCTAAGAAAGTGTATTAAAACTATGAAAATACTGAATTGAACTAAATTAAACCAATCTAAAATAGTCACGTTTATATAATATATGACTAACGGAAGATGTAATTGTTGAATTAAAATTCACTTATGTCAGATTTAAGCAAGCTTTGCTGCAATTATTGTCAATAATATTTTTCGGGCGCCTATAGGCGCCAACAGTACATCGAAACCAAATTTTTCAAGCACCTTTAGGCGCCAACAGTAGCCAAAGGGTTAAAAGTAAGATATATACAGAAGCGTTTTATTTGCATAATAGAAATTTGTATTAGTGGGGAAGTTTTTCGTGGTGTGGGTATAGGGAGAGGAGACTCGCCGCATCCCGTTCACGCTATCGCTTCTTAATTTCCAATAATCCTTTTAATCTGATAGTATTATGGGTAATTATGAAGATATACTGTAGGCAGTACTCTCACCACGGACAAAATAGCTTCATTAATACCAACCTCTATTATTTTGTAAAATTGTGTGTAGACATTGTAAAAAACAACATCAACAAATGGAGGTAAAATCGAAAAATTTGAACGTGGTGGGAAATTATAATGCTTCGTAGCTTTTGAAGCAATTAATAAGAAACTTAAAGTACTATACTTACAGAACAATGAACATAACAGTTACGGTGAACACTGGATAATTGCAACATCGGAGATCTCTTCATAATTGCAACATCATCATCCCCACCATACCCCTGCCAGGTTCCTTTTAATACACTATAGCGCTCGACGACCGGCCGCGATTGAATAGTGTAACATGATCCGACTATTGCTGAAGTCGATGATTTCTACATCTCTTTTCTTTATATTCACTGTCCTTTTCTATATCCGAACCTTTAATCGCTTTTTATACAAGCAATTATGATTGTAATTCCGTCATTGTTGGTGCCTTTTTAATTAGAAAAACATAAACATGATGGTGAAAGTTGCATTTATCAAAAGTCAAAAATAGATAAGTTGAATTTCTGAGTAAAAAATCTCAAGCTTATCGCGAATCTTTAATGTTGTCGAACGTTTTGACCCTCAGTCTTTCTTTTTCCTTCACTCGCATTGCCCCTTTCTACATCCGCCATGCCCAAATCTTTATTTTTTGGGGTGGATTCGATTCTACCTCTACATAATTGCAACCTGTTGGTTCTGATGAGTGTTGCAATTATGGTCACTGTATATCAAGATCAAGATCATACGAGATTTCCGTTTTTCTACAATATTAGTATTAGTCCCTTTAGTCGAATTCATTTTAGCGAATACCTCGAAAACTAAAAGTGGTCGCCTGTTAAATATACAGGAAAGATTGTTCAGGATGACGTCATTAACAATATATTTCAAGGTCATTGGAATCAGTGAGGGAGGCATATATCCAAATATTTATTTTTTATGCATGAAGATTAATTTTGATATATAAGTAAATACATTGTTTTGATGTTTTTAGTTTTTAGGTTTAGTTTACTAGCTCAACGGTTCGCTGGCTAAATCAGAACTAAAAATGAAATACAACTTACTTTAATGTTGTGTTTTTGTAAACTAGTAAATCACTCTTTAATTACTAAATTATTTTTATTTTTCAATTTGGAAGAAGGGTGTATATCTGATCCTCGATTTACGATATAAATCTACGTGATCTGAATTTAGTAATACCGAATAAAATGTACTTTTGTTTCCTGAAATGTCATGATTATTATTTCTTTTGTTCAGCGATGTAAAAGAAATATATATTTCTAAACCTTATACCAGCTTTTCTTTCCAATATTTTGTTTTCTCTTATTCCAACAGACTCTATTTACGTGATTTTCATTCGCGTAAAACGAATCTACGTGGAACGGATTTTCGCGTAAATCGAGAGCCAGGTATGCGTTGCGCCAGTTAAGTATCTGTTCAGCCACTACACTGAGCAGCAATTTGTTTTCCAAAGTTCTGTCATATTTATAAAATGTAACACAGGCTCTTGTTCTAGACACCTATTCAGCTATCGTATTAACCAGTTACTGCGTTTGACGAGTGTACACGTCATCTTAAAGCTTGAAATAATACTAATTCTTTCAACGATGAATTCTTAATTTTTTTAGATAAACTTGTAAGTCGTCTATGTTTTGCTTTAGATTTTCAGTAAAATATACCCTAGGCGCATTCGTAACTAAATTCCACAGTTAATAGGTTAACCTTATCATTTCCGGAAGCTTCTGGAAATCATTAACTTACCGTTTTTTAATAAACACCGACGACTAAGTAATGATCGTTTATGTTTTACTTAACAGGACGAAGGATGGAAACTAGACCGTACAAATTACTATCAGGAGGGATGGTTGGCCACTGGTAATGCTCGTGGCCTGGTGGGAGTGACTTTTACTACGTCCCATTGTAGAACGAGGGCCACAGAAATTCCGCTGAGGGCGAATTACAACCTTCGGGGACATCGCAGCGAAGTAAGTTCTGTTTTTTTAGCTCGCTTTTCCCGTGTTTCCCTTTCACGCGATCGTAGTAAGCGAGACGCGACGGAGTGTTATTTAATTTCCTCTTTTCCCCTCTTTCCGAGGCGACGTAGCGATTAATAGCGTTTGATTGCTTTAATTCACGGAATTTCTGCGATCTTCGAGAGACGGTTCTTGAATCTTGACTAGGGAAGAAATTCGTTGAGCATGGGCACCGGATCTTCGAGCTGTGAATCTAATTTGTTCACACACAAATGCACATAAAGCAGCAGACAGGTCCTCACAGCCTTGATGGCTTTCTGCACGTTTCTCTGTAATAGCTGGTTACTTTAAATTAAATTCTGTCACTTATCAGTGAAGCATTGAAATTAAATTTCAACGTGAAATTAAGTGAAGTGAGGTGTAATATTATTTTAATTTTAAATTGGTTGAGAAAATTGTCAGTTTTAGATATCACTTTGTTAACCTCTTGCGCTGGAAATTAATTCAGAGATTTGACAGTTTTGCGCGAAGAATTTTATTTTTACCTATTTTATATAGATATGTACACTAATTTTGTTTATTAATCATTTTTTATAGTGTGGTACATTTCAAAACAATCTAGAACGTGTTAACACTAAAACTATCAGATGGGTTAAAATGACCCATTCCTGATTTCTTCTTTTTATAATTATTAAAAAGATGACAGATGTTTCTCTGAGAAATTATTAAAGTATTTGAATTGGCAATACGCAAATTGAATTGTAAATCAATTAAAGTCTCAACAGATGCGTTTTTGGAGTTTTTATGGAGTAATTTCAAAAAGTCTATTTCATTCCTTAGTAGTTTTAATATTAAAACTATCGATGTGTACAAGTCGTCATTGACAATTTTGGAACAAAGCACCTCGACGTGCATGGTACTTTCCAGTACAAGAGGTTAATCAACAAATTCGGAACCTATAATGTAGTTCTACGACATTTTTAATTTTTTCAGAAGAATGCTGATCACTTATTTCTAGATTATTTTAATTAAATGTATTTACAATATCTTTCTACTATATACTTTCTATATTCATACAGATTCGAATAGCAGACCATTACGATATTTAACTATAGACTTTGGGGAATTATATGCGGTCACTAATGGGTTCATTATGGTTATTATAATTTTCCTTCTCGTGTTAACACAGTGGTTGGATTAATTGTTCGCAAGTTAGTTTTTGAATTATAAACTAATAGTAAAGAACCATTTACCCATACTTTATATCATCATTCAATTGATATGTTGTAACTACTAGTTAAATAAAAGGATGTGTCATCAAAATCTAGACTTCCAACATTTTGTATATACATTCATTTAGTATACTGTTTATTAAAGGTATTTCATTAGAATTAATAGACTCAATATCTGTGTCTAATTAATATCGACAATACAAAAATAAAACAAATGAACTTCAGTTCGCAAATTATCTGCGGAAAAGACAGATTAAAAAATATATTGACTCGTAACGAAGATTTCTAATATGGTTTAACAAATATAATTGTTATTCAGTTCTTTTGAATTCAAACGAAACATTATTTTTCTTGTTACCAATTTGTATGATTTACAGTAAATATACATATAGAAGGTGCTTGGAATTTTTTTGTTTTACTAATACACTATTAACAATAAATAGTTCTAACAAGTGCAAGTGTGAAATTGAATTGTAGGGCAACAGGTTAACGACGAAAATAAAAATTTTACTTCTTATTTTGATAATATATTTATTTATATATATTACCCTGCTCACTTGTACTACCAGTTCCGGGACACCATGTATATATCTAAAACAAATGAAATTCAATTGAATTCATATTATGTAATTCAGAAATTCAGATCTTTTAATTATTGGACCATCATTTGGGAGACACAACAGTTTCTAAGGACTGAAAAATTAATTTTTTCGGTCATATATTGGACAGACCAAATTTTGTTGGACTCATGAAATGCAGGAATATTGTCTTTTCTACTTGTGTTTCGTTAGGAAAATTCCTTTAATTATATGATACGTGACGATACACGATATGAAACCGTGACTATGGTCATTAGCGTATTCTACGTTTCTCCTAGGAAACACAATTTCATGAACCAATACGTAGATTGCTACACAAGTTTCAAAAATTCGTCATTTCTAGCGTTGCTATTCAGTTGTTTACTACTTTCTTAAATCATTATATTTTTAGGTTTAGAAAATGTTGACACAATACAGTAGAAAACGTATTACTGTTGAAGGGGAATATTATGAAAAATTATGAAACCATTAGTTCAACCTTATTTGTGAATTTTTCACACTTTCCTGATAATTTTGCAGCAACCCAGGTATAGGATCAAATAATTGAAGCCTTTGGTACATATAGATTTAATTTTCACGCTTCAAAACCTTTACAATAATATTATCTGGGTATTTTATCAGCGCGTAATGACGTGTATTAATGCCAGAGAAGCTTCATCGACCAGGAATTGAAAATAACGAAACCGGAATAATCTTCGAACAATGTTTAAACCGAATACAGGTAGATAAGGTTTCTATTATAGTGTATTCTATAATATACTTCCATTGTAGCGAGGTTTCTATTATTCTGTCCAACGTGTATATATACATGGGGTAATGGCGCCTAATATGGAACAGCTTCTAATATGGAACACCACAATATTTCGGAAAATAAATAGCTCGATGTGTCAGTTACCATTGGAAACATTTCATTTATAATAGAAAACAATTATAACAATAGTTGAACATTAATTAAGAATTTGGCATTGAATGTGAACCATCATTGTGTTTGGTAGTACATTAAATTTTCTGAAAGACGAGTTAAATAGTTAAACGTCTTAATATAGATTGGCCGAAAAATTTCATTTTTTAATGATTTATCATTGAACACGTTTGTTTTTTGCCATTCGAAAACAATTTGCTGCAAATTTATTTTCTTTTTAAAATAATTATTATTTTTCTTTCGGAATACGTGGGTTCCTAGTATGGAACACGTTCCATATTAGATGCACATTCTTTGTTAATATTACATATTATTATGTTTTACTTTTATTTTATGGTGACAATTACAAAAATGATAATAATGTGTTATTCGTATATCCAATGTATAAAAAAAAAGAAAAAAAATTAACATAATATAAGTTGAAAAAAGTGGAAAATTCGTTTATTTATTCTTTTTAATTCTATAAATATTTATTTATCGTGATAAAAATGATTTTGTTTACAAGTTACCTAGCTGTTCCATATTAGGAATCACTTTTTTAGATCACGGTTTTTGACTTTATTTACATTTTTTTACCGGGGTTTAAAGGTATTTAAATTTTTGCGTTGTTTTTGATCAGTGCATGGATGTTTCTTAATACTATTTTTACCGAACATGTCAAAAGACACCTTTTGAAACATTAATTTAAAATTATTTTCTCCGTTTAATCAATTTTGCTCAATTGGATTTTGGACATCCTATACGTCAGTTTATAATCGTTATTGGAAAAGTCGGAAAGTCAATTAAGAATATACGTCTAAACTTGGAAAACAATTTTAAGTTAAAAATTCAAAAGGTGTCTTTTCACACCTTCGATAGAAATAGTATCAATTTCTTTACGTTTTGCTGTAGGTTTCATTGGAAAAAATGCATATCTCCAGTTTTGACAAGCTGTTCAAATCACGTGTTTCATATTATAAGTGCCGTTGTCCTATATATCATTATTAATTGCGTCGTACACCTCCATGATTCTCTAAGACAGAATTTATGTGTAAATATACGAGAGCAATGAATTAAGCTGAGTCAATACATTTTTCAAACCTTTCTCACGTTCCTGGTTATTTTCGTGCAATAACAGAAATATGAATTTACTAAATGTTATATTATTTTCTTATTTCAAGTTGTTGTTTTCAATCTTTAATACAATCTTCTACAAAATAACTGTATGAACGTATTGAAGTATACTTTCTTCAATCAAGTTAAACAATTTTTTATTGTATATATAAATAAATTATTATGTAAAATTTAAATCCTTAATAATACTGTGGAATATAATTTTCGATTCATGATACTCAATACCTTGTTTTTATAGTGTTTTATCATCTACTTGTGTACAGGAATATGAGTGCAAAATTACGTACTAGGTACAAATTTAAATCATCAGTAAGTTCAAGTTGTAAGTGTATACAGTTAATAAATTGTAACGTTTGGAATGGTTGTAAACAATCACTAAAATAAAACAAAACAAATGATGTTCGTTCCTTTGTATGCATTTTTACAAAACATGCTTTATATAACATAAATTCGCTGTACGGTGCTAAATTTTATAAACTCCTAGAAGAAATTATCCAAAAAAGACGTCGACTTGCTTTTAAATTCGAAAAACAGTGAAAAATGTATGCACAGTGTCCTGCTGCTATGCGAGTATTTGCTTGCATGTTTCAGTTTGCCAATGTCAAATGTGTATAACGAAGATCCTTAATATTATGTATACAGTATGTCGGTGTTATTCGTATACATTCGAATATTTCCATAATTATTGGAGATACGAAAACATGTTTGAGGTAAAAGTTGTTCGAGATGATGGGAGAAAAATACAATAAACTGACAATATTGGAAATACATAGTTCTATTTCTAAAAAATAGCATTTACCTTGAAATCCCTTCAAATGACAATGTAAAAAAATTAAAACAGCTTACTAAATGCCCCACATCATGTCGAACAGCTTTTATCTGAAACATTTTTTCGTATTTTCAACAATTACAATATTTGGGTGTACACGAACAAAATGGACATACTTAGAGAACTAACATTCAAATGTGTAGATGTAGGTCCAATAGAAATAGTAAAATAGTAGGTCCAATAGTGAAATAGTAAAATACCGAAAATAAATAATATAGTATTATTGTAGTATAACTACAATAGTATTAAATTCTTTCAAGTACAAATTAAATATTATTTATCTGTCATCAATTACTATGCTTTAAAGTAAACGTAGA